AAACAGAGCGGTCTGACAAATTGTGAGTCCTGAGTCTGACTTTGACATGCTCGTGTCCCTTCATCCCCCCATCCAGAAAGGACCTCAGATATCCCTCAGTGAGAGAGTCTCCCATCTCTCTTACCCACATAGCACCTGAGCCAGTGCCACCAGGAATCAAGTTCTTGGTAGACTCCCCTGTGTTCCGCCAACATAAAGGAATAGCCTCCTCATGCACTAGGTTGCAACACCATTTGCCCCGGCCACCCCTCTATCTGGATGGATGGGGGGGAGGGGCAGATTTTAGTGGTGTTGCGACCTCATGCGACAGGTTGTAACACCATTCACTAAAATATGTCCAGCCACTCCTCCATTTGTATGGACGGGTGGCTGGGTCAAATTTCAGTGGTCTTGTGACCCCACAGCTGAAGTGATGCTTCAGACCACTCTGGCAGCAGCTATACTGCTTTAATATGGGACCACTGCTTGAAAGTGGTTGAGCCATATCTTGCCCTGCCCCCTCCCCACACAGCTCCACAACCTACGGAACTTAGAGCAAGTACAAAAACCTGGAGAAGGGGTGAGGGGGTGTTCACTCCCCACCCCCAAATGGTGCCACTGGCCTAAGTGTATTAGGCTGGGCACCTAGACATTGAGATACCCAAAATAATGGCCATTATTTGCCTAAATTCAGCCTTAAAGGACAATGAGAAAGTACTATCTTCTCCGGTGACTGAAACAATGACAGCCTTCACCTTTGTCCTTAGGGGAGAACCGGAAGCCAGCATGTAAGTTGATTGCTGCTTGCAGGACCATGGTAATAGCAGTCAAACACTGTTTCGTCTGGTAACTACTACAAAGCCCCAAGTATATGGCTATTCAAGCAGTACCAGTAATTTAGCAGGGCACAGAAGAAGCAGAAATTTGGTACCATAATTGTTTTTTCCTTTGGGGATTAAAAAGCATGTGTTAATGTAGCTCAGGGATCGGCAACCTTTGGCACACGGCTCGCCAGGGTAAGTACCCTGGCAGGCCGGGCCGGTTTGTTTACCTGCCGTGTCCGCAGGTTCGGCCAATCGCGGCTCCCACTGGCCGCGGCTCGCCGCTCCAGGCCAATGGGGGCTGTGGGAAGCAGCGCGGGTCGAGGGATGTGCTGGCCA